CCCCCCCCCCCCCCATCATTCCTAAACCGACAAAAACGAACCATCCACGCCACAAAACCCATCAGCCCCTGGAAAACCTCTAATTCCCATAATAACCTGAGCCCTAATCCCGATAATATAACTGTCCTCTACCGTCAAACCCTGATATCTTCGGATTCCACAGCTGAGCCCAGGGCCTGCAAACATCTCGTAAGGCCCTCGGCTGCATCAGCATCTAGGGCTTCAGCGATTCGGGATGTCGGGTTTAGGGTAGAGATTCCAGGTTTCGGATATGGTCTTTTCTATTTTATCCGCCCATTTTCTCCTAACTGTTACCAGGTCGCAGAAAGACTTCACAAGGGGTTTAGGGTTTCGGGTGCAGGCATTCTATCTCTCTCCCTCTCTCTCCCTCTCCCTCCCTCCCTCCCTTGCGCAAAATATAGAACCCATGTAACCCGAACCAGCCCTCAGGCCAAACCTCAACGCGCACATCCTGAATCTGCTAAAGCCCTTGCCGCCACCCCTTGGCATCAACACCTTGAAAGGAACCCAAACCCAGCAGAACTCTAATCCCTAAACTTAACAGGATATTAATTTATCCCTACACCCAAGACAAACCGTAAACCCTAAATTGGAAATCCTGAACCCTAAACCAAACACCCAAACCCTAAAACCAAAAAACCACCAAACCCTTTTTTTGAACCCAGACTCTGCCAATCAGCTGGGAACCCCAAACCCCTAAACTTGGCCCTAAACCCTAAACCCTTCACGAGACCACCGAGTGGAAACGCCTCCGGGTCCGAAGGACTCCTTTGCGCCTGTGACGTCGTAGACGCGCCCGAGAACCTCTTTCTGTAGGGGGTTTAGCGTTTAGGGTGTCAGGGTTTAGGAGTTTACGCTCTCGCACTCGGACTCCGCCAGGCGAGGTTCGTAGGGGCTGGGTGAAACAAGGGTCTAGGGGTCAGGGTTTGGGGTTTGGGGTTGAGGGGCTTAAGGTTTACAGGGTCTATGAGGCTCAAGGGGCTTACGCTCTCACAACTCGGACTCGGACCGCGCCGGACGAGGTCTCTGTGTCCATCTACGCCAGAATGACCACTCATCGGGATGCAATCACCGCTACACCACAAAGCGAAAGAGTACATATGCGATATAACATGAGTACAGTGGCAAAGGCGCATGATTGCCAAGCTTCGGTGCTTTGACCACAAACTGGACCCTCAGAATATGTGGCTGCAAGTAAGCACCTACATAAATAAACTAGCAGGCGGCAGCATCGCACATGCTTAGGGTGGAGTTGAAACTACGTGACCAAAGGAGACTAGGCGACAGGGGGGACTTTCTGGCGTCTTGATTGGGCTTCATGGTGCATGTAGGTTTTTAGTGGAGCTAGCTTTGCGGTGCTTAGCAGTTTAGGGTCTGGGCCCGTCTCTAAAAGAGCTGTATACACGTTATCTAACTGGCATACTAATAGTATATTTCTTGGCTATTCTGGTGAACAGCTTCAGGCTAATCCGGCAGCATTCACCAACATAAGAAAGCTAGTTGGTCTCGTGGGCTGACGAATCTAGGTCAGCATGGGTACTTAGAATACCCAAACGGTAAACCCTAGGGTTTGAATGGGAGTGTAGGTGAGGCTTCTCACGATCGACGAAGCAGCAGTCTAAGACACTGAAAGGTTGCCAAAAGCCCCTCCTCTGGCCACACACATCATGAGTCACATATGTATATATATATATATATAATTACAGGCGGGGCTCTACGGGGACATCATTACACAAAACAAATTAGAGGCTCTGTCTGTCGAGCGCCGCTCCTCTTGAGCCGGTATCGGGACTCCACAACCTTTCTTTTGTATAACCCGTACTGAGACCGATAGAAGCCACATTGACCCAGCACCAAAAACACGATTCTTGCGAATCCCTTTTGGACTTAAGACCTCTTTACAATCTGCTGGTACTTTTAGTGCAACACATCGGAACGACAGCATCGTAACAACAAAAGATTAAGCACTTCTGAAACGAACACCCAGATAAGGGCCTTTCGACCGGGATGCCAAGGCTCGGGCGGAGGTGAGAATGGGCTTGCCCGGGCCTTTGCCGTCGAACTGTGCCAGCTCGGCAGACGTGAAGGCCTGCTTTTGTCCCTCCCACTTAGCAAGGACGAGCTCGCATTGCGGGGTTGTTCAGGTGCTTTGGCAGATGCAACTACCCTAAACCCTAAACCCTAAACCCTACAGCCTTTGGAAGGCCTGGTTTAGGGTTTCGGGTTGGGGGCTTTCGGGGACCTGGCCGAGTTGATTCTCGGTTTGAGGGGGTTTGGGCCGTCGGCAGTCGCATCTGCGACCAGTGCTATCCAGCCCTCATCCAATCCACAGGTGGCTGTAGTGGCCAAAGTTTGGGTAGTTCTCCACATTCTCGTAGGGTCCTTTGTATAAGGGTACCATACTATATATAATCCAAACAGGGACGCTATTTTAGAGAACTATCCGCGCAAATTAACCACTTGACTCTGGGATGGAACTCGAGTGGAGCGTAAGACACTGGAGGCCACAGGATCCCGACTTTAAGGACCCCAAACCAAAAAAAAAGCAACTTAGGACCCCAACGATCCCGCCCCAAAACAACCTGAAATAGTAGGATCCTGACTGTAAGGATCTCAATCCAAAACAAGGGATCCCTACGAAACCCTATAACTAAACCCTGAAGCATACTATAGAACCCTAAATGCTAGGATCATGTCTTGAAGGACTTTTAGAAACGATGGGGTTCCACAGTTCCAGAAAAACATACTCAATTTACGACCCCGCAACCCTCGAACCTTCGGAACAGTGGGAGACTTGCTGAGAAAGGCGCTCCACCCAAAGTTGCTATGGCAGATGGCATACCATAGCATACATACTAGGACTATGGTCTATCACCGTATGCCCGGCATATTATGGCTTGCGGTTCTCAGTTCGCTCGCTTTTTTGGCGTTTGTTGAACAGGTTGGGAGACTCTCACAGCGAGGATCGAAACCGTAGCTCAGGACAATTCTCACCTGCTCTGCGGGCGCCAGCGGCGGAGGCGGAACTTTCCTCTTGGCGGGCGCGGAGCCTGGCCGACTAGCTTGGGGACCCAAACCCTAAACCCTAAACCCTAAAACCTAAACCCTGAAGCCTAAACCTTATAAAAACTAAACCCGAAACCCTTCAGGGGGACGAAGGATGCCAATGGGGCTGTGGGATGCAGGCTTGGGGTTTCCCCTTCAGACTCGCAGGGCAGGGTTTTCGGTCTTTTGCCTCCCACCTCACTAGGACGAGCCCGCCTACCCTGCGGTTAGGGTCTATACGATTAAGAGTTTAGGATAAGTCGTCTTAAGATTTGAGTGGACTGACAACAGCGATTTACAATGGCGGAGTTTCTGCCGGCCTGCGCCAGCGCTCGCTCCCTGCGCACCGCAGTTCGTCGGAGGCACAGGACTCAATACTCTTCCCAAAAACACAAATTCAGGCCTTCGTTGATGCGAAGGAAACACCCTCAATCTTGGCCATGCTGTAGGCCTGCAATCTCTCTCAGAACGATCGGTCGCAGCACGACATGTTCTTTGCAGCACCTCCGGAGCCCTGCCCCCAGACCTCAAATCCCTACAACCCGAGAAAAATGCCGCGAATGTCAGCCTCATCGAACAAGGCCAAGATCAGGCTGTAGATGGTGCGCATGCAGGCCAGCATGCGATCTCGCGGGCTTCAGGCTTCCTAAACCTGGCTGACCCTTTGCACAATGTAGTTTGGCTGTCGCATGTACGATGCGTGTCGCGAAGGGCCATCCATGATCAGGACGTGGTTTCGGGGTGAAGCGGCGCCTGTCCTTCTTAGGAAGGCAATACCTGTGGGGTACCCTATATGTGTATAGGGATTAACAAGGGCAACTATCAATGATTACTCCGACCCGTAAACCCTATATAATTCCCAAACCCTATAGACCCAGCGTTGTGTTGGTGCTGGCAAGGCCCAAATCCAAGCCGCACGCCTCGCTGAGCATCAGAAATAGAGAGCTGGTCCATGCTGTCCAGGTAGCCTCGACATTAAAGCAATGTGTTTGGGGTTTTTGGGGCTTATACGGAACCTGAACCGACGGCGCCGACGTGCGGCGCGCAAGAAGCCCAGGAGCAAGAACATCCGAGGTCCGACAACCTTTAAACCATGTATGTATGTATGTATGTATGTATGTATGTATGTATGTATGTATGTATGTATGTATTTATATATATACACATGAAAACGTAAGACATATATATATATATATGTGTGTGTGTGTGTATGTATATGTTAGCACTCGCGCTCGACCAGGTCAGGCCATACATATATCTGTACATACATCTGTACATATACACACATGTGTATACATACACAGATATAGATATAAACATAAAGAAATGAACACATACATATATATATATATATATACATATATATGTGTGTATATATATATATATATATAACCGAGGCCACGGCTCTGAACACGGCCGTGGGTCGACCTTAAACAGTCAGCCCGGGCGGCGCCCCAAAAGGCTAGCCGCCCTTATCGTCATCCATCCGCACTGGAAAACTGTTTAAAACCCAGCATCGTCTTGCAAAGAGGGTTTTATAAAAACCGCCCAGCGCCATCACCCGCGGCATCAGGATCATGCTCAGGCTTAAGATGATGGCGCTGGTGGTGCTGGTGGTCGCCGTCGTCGTGATGGTGCGGATGTATCTGTGCGTTATTGTGAGTGTTATGAACAGGAGCACCGTCGACACCGACATGCTGGTCTTCTCACCATCATCTGCTCCTAGGTCCTAGCTTTCGTCACCACCATCACGCCCCTCCTCCTCCTCCTCCCCCTCCTCCCCCTATGCCTACAATCACACTCTTCCATGCACATGCAACACAAAGTGCCAAGACGCAACTTGTCTGACACCCATCCCTTTCTTACCCCTTGCTCGGCTGGCTGCTGGCCAGCTGGCAGGCTGAAGGAATAGAAGCGTGCTCCTGCAGAGTCAATGCTTCGAGACCTCAAGGTCTTGGTTGAGTACTCTTTCACATTAGCGCACCGCGTGTCCTTCTGGTGCGCTTTTCTGCGCCCGGTTTGCCACCTTTCCGCCCAAGAACCTGGCCCAGCCACATCCAAGTTGCAAGGCACGCTAGATCTATCGAACGTCACTCAGGTGCAGTGGAGGCCCAAAAGCCCAGCGAGTGCAGAAACAGAAAGCACACGCAGAATTCACAAGAAATAGTGCAACCAGTCTTAGAGGCAAATCGGCAGCGGCTGGGGCTTCCACTGGCCCCCGCTGAGCACGGCGTTGTACTGCAGGAAATGGTGGCCTTCGGCGTCCGAACCATTTTGGCATTTGGGAGTTTCCGAAAAGAAGGGGTGCCATATTTTGGGGTCCTTATAATAAGGAACCGACAATTTACTGTTTAGGGTACTATATTAGGGTCCCTATTTTCGGAAACCCCCATTTATACGGGGTCTTCCGGTTGTTTGTAAGCGGTAGAAGCAGTATGTAGCTTTTGTATGTGCGCTGTTGTTGTGATGATTGTTGCTTGATTAGACACAGCAGGAAGGGTGGGAGTACGAATATTAGTAGGAGTCGGTGGAGCACTTACTAATAGGAGGGGGTTTCGGGGCGTTGCTTTTCCATGCTGCTGGTGTGGCAGTCTACTCCAGTACTTTGCCAGCGAGGCCCAGGCAAAGCAGCAGCCAGGGGTCTTTGGCATCCTCAAGCCGTCGGATCTAGGATCAGGCTCATGTGGGAGTTTCCGAAAATTAGGGGTACCATATTTTGGGGTCCTTATATTAAGGATCCTGTTATTTAGGGTTCCCTATTTTCAGAAACCCCCATGTGTCTGATTCATGCTCCCTGCATTCGGACCAGCTGGATGAGATTCTTGGTTCGACACGTGTCGAAATCAAGCTCAGCCGAACATTTCGGACGAGTGCAAGACCGCAAAGCCGCTAAGACACTGGCAGCCACACTCGAGGATCTCAATCGGACTATAACCCTCAGCGGAATTGCTGCGGTGTTGGGGTCACATCCCCACACCCCTCACCCGCGCCACAGAGAGAAAGAGCGAGGGCGAGGCAGTCGGAAGTTGCCCAGAATCCCGAGGGCTGAGTTGGCAGAATGAATGAATGTGACGGACATGGCTTTTGCTGGACAGACATGGCTTTTGGTGCAAGAGCTGTTTGAGCTTTTCCTGAACTCGGCGCAGTCGTTATGCGACAGCGGCCGGCAGACCAGCAGAGGGCTTACGCCAGTCTTACACCTCGAAGACCTGTAAGCCCACCTGGAGGAACTGGTTGCTCGGACGGGCTTTCTGTGGGGTTCGCCTCCGTTCGCCTCTGACACTCGCGCAACTCCAAGCAACGACGGCAAAGAAACGTCAACCCGAAGCGGCCTAAGACAGCACAAGGACACACTCTTTTTTGTCTGGCCTGCACAACAACCGCACGCTCGCTCGTACCATTTTTCCAAAGAGCCGAACAGAAGCCCTTCGTCACAGCCGACAAACTCAAGAAGTGTGACGCCAAACACCAACAGCTTGTGCGATAGCAACAGCAAGCATCGCTTGGTCATACCCACGCATGACCTCATCAAAATAACTTCATAGCCGATCTTGGCAAGAACAGGGTCGGCGAAGCATGAGATAGTGAGTTGTACTGAATCCGCAACCACTAAACCCAACCGTACCGAAGCCTCGGCATGACTACCATGACTACCAACACGCATTCTACCAAACATGCTGAATATCTCCGAACATCTCCCACCTGTAACACCCAGAAGTGACACCACGAGGAGGAGACCCCCAGGCCTACAGGCCATAAAACAACCTTCAGCCGAAATCGGCCTCCACTTCGAGCTCCCTAAACCCTAGACCGAAATCCCAGTTTTATATAGAGCCCGCTAAAAGAGTTAACACCCTAAACCCTAAACCCCTAAACCTCCCAACCCTAAACCCCTAAACCTCCCAACCCTAAACCCCTAAACCCCTAAACCCTGAATTCTAAAGCCTTCGGTCCTCTTCGAGTTGCGCCAAGTACCGGGCCACGGTCGGAGATTTTTGCTCAGCCTCGGTTGCGTCGTGGCCACACGTAAGATAGGCTAATATAGTAGAATTGTTTAGGGTTTAGGGTTTAGGGTTTAGGGTTTAGGGTTTAGGATTCAGAATGGAATGTTGTAGGAAATAGCATAGTATCACATAACTTAAGATAGCATAACATAACATGACAAAATGTACTTTCGGTTGAAATACTAAACAGAAATAATATACAGGATATTTATATATATATATATATCTTGGATATATACATATATACATATATATATATACACATGCATATATATACATATATATAATGTAACAAATATCAGACAAGTACAGAATATAAATGTTCAGTACATTATACTGTATAAAATCAAATATGTAATACAGCCAATATTGTATATAATACCTATCACGTAATATATAACATTATATACATAACATATTGTATAATATTGTGAATACTATGTATTCTATACCGTTAGACTAGTATGGCATAGCATCGCATGGTATAACATAGTACAGCAAAGTACAATATAACATAATACAACATCAAAACATAGTAAACATGGTATAACAAAACTTGATATAGTTTAGCATTCTACAAGACGGCAGAACAAATTATGATTACTGTTATGATTATTCTTACTATTACTGGTATTCTTATGATTGTATATGACAGCGCATAATACATCTTTATACACGCTACTATAGTTTACATAATAAACTGTGATATTGTAGAATATAACATCATATAGCATAATGTAACATAGTATAATTCAGCCAACTGTTCATTAAGACAGCATAACCTACTATAACTATAACATGATATAGTAGAGAACAATATATAATCATTCATAATCATTTAAAATCATATCCTTAAAACTGAAACACGACACAATGAGAACGTATAAAATGCTATCATACAATGATGTACATACTGACAGCCGGCGCCGCCTGAGGGCTGCAGCATGTGCTAGCAGTAGAGTGGCTGCCCGCAGCGATGTGCGTGCAACTTCAAGGTGCAGGATTCCGGCAATCTCCGAATCGCTAGCCGTTGCTATCAAGACCTGTCTATGCTGCCCTGCCTGCGCCTCCCAGCCCTCTCCGCACCAGAAGCGCAAGTCCTGCCGCAAGGCCTGCGATGAAGCAACTGCGGAGGCCTTCTCGGCGGTGTACTGTTTAGGACTTTCTTCTGGGAACTAAAGCTAACGTGTTTCAAGATGATCGGTTATGGAGCTCGGAGATGCCGTCTCTCATGGCTCAGGCCCACCACCGGAGGGCCTCTGTCCGCAGCAGAGCCTGCTCCAGGCATGGCTTCACCAATAAGACACACACGCAACCGTAAGGAAAGGAATTCCATGCTCTGTGCTCTCATTAACAATCTACTGCTCAGCGTAGCAGTAACTTGTGATAAGATGGACCATTAATTGAGGAGCCTCGTTTGCTTAATCGACTTCTGGGAGTTCCAAACCAGGCAATAAAAGGATTGGTCTTGAAAAATCGTATCGATAGGGTACTGCCCCCATACAGTGGCAGTCTATAATGGGGCTACCATTAAGGGCCTAATATATCCATATAATATGAACATTATCCAACTGTTACTGTGTGGGGGCAGTACCCACCGTATCGAGGCTTCGGATGGCTGTGTGGCCATGTCATCGTCTCGGTTGATTTTCGTAATGATGCGAATGACCGCATGCCATGTAAAATACTGCGGTACACGTATAATCCTAACCAATGATAAGACCAATCATGGTCAGAGAAACGGTAGTTTCAAAACAAAAAGTGATGTATGTCCTATATTCACCTTGCAGATGCGATTCCCACTTCCGAACAGATCTGAAATCTGAAGCGCTACACGCTGAATCGAATCTGTCTCAGGCCGAGCACGTTCATCGTAGTTACTGTCCATCACAAAGCCAGTATGCGATGTCAGAGCCCCCCCTTTCACAACAGAATTTTGGACTGGGGTGCCTGGTCCATGACGGCAGACATGGGTGCTACTTGGCACTTCTCGCAGTGTGCCTGCAATCGTGCGGAGGCCCACTTTGAGATGTTATGGTGGCTACACCGCTGGAAGACTGATGCGGTGTTGCTGCTTGTTCATTCACATTTCGGACGCCTGTTTGACGGGGGGATTGTTCATCCATCTGAGAGAAAGGTAGACTCAAATTGTAGACTTCTGGCCCGGACTTCCTGTTCTCATTGATGCCTGAGATTTTGATTTTTTCGGCACAGATTCAGAAAATGTGCTAGTGAACCTATCGCACTCCTATATACCACAAAGCAATGTGAACAGGAGATCGTCACTGCCCTCTCTTTATTTGCAGTTTCTCGTGGCTACACAAAATACGGTTTGTTCGGCGCTCAAAAAAAAAGGTTTCAGAAAATACCGGGAATCTAACATGAACCATGCAGTAATGCATGCCCAGCAAAACCGGATCCTCGTTATAAGGACCTCTCAGTTCAGAAACCCACCATATTACCCCGATTGGAAGAAGCTTTTTAAACTACTACCTAAACCCTGAAATTTAAACGCAGTATCCTGATCCTGGGGCGCGGGTCTCTGTGGGCTTCTTTGCAGGGCGCCCGCGGTGAAGATGCGGAGGTGTCTCTAAATTATATAAGCACTTTACAGACGCGGTGTCCAGATTGGTATCCTGCCTCTCCCCTCCCAGCACGACTTCTTTTGGAGGCGCCGAGCTCCGCACTGTGCACTTTGGGCACAGGCATCGGGATGTCATGGTCCACTACTGAGGCACTCAGTGTGGTTAAATCCTGGACTCCCGACCAAACCTCATTCACACACCACAGTTCAAGGCACTTGGGCATCGAATCAGTTATTGGCTCCGCTCGCGCTGCGAATGAGGTTGAGCCACGGGAACCCACTGGCTTCAAAAAGAAATTGCTCGATGAAGCTGCAAACTGGAAGAGGAAGTAGGAACGCCTCACTGTGCTCCGTGTGCCTTTAAGATCTTCATGGTCACCTCCTGTTTGTTCTGTGTGGCCACTGCCAGTGGTGTCATGCCCTGGACGTTGGGTTGGCTCACATTGGCCCCGACCTGGAGGAACATGAGGGTAAGTCGGAACGCCGAGTGAGCCAATTGAATGAACCGGAATCCTAATACCAAACGCATAAGTATGTTCCGCACTGTTTGCCGCAACCTAGACAAGAGCTACCAGATGTTCCGGAAAAACCGGTGCGTGCACCCTCCGATTCGATTCTATGCCATGTGCAATCGAGGCATTTTGAAGCGACCTGTGCCAAGAGAGAGAGAGAGAGAGAGTGCCTGCTCCGGTATGTTCGGTCCAAGTGGAGCCCGTCCTTCTACACTAGAACAATATCACCCCCAAAAAATAATCTGTCTAGTTTGGTCATATATAAGCCTAACTCTGCTCATCGTACAACCCTGTGCTGGCATGTCACAGTTGACAACAGCATGCATGACACACATACATGGTAGTCCTCAGAGAGTTCACAGCCCCATAGAACTCCAAGAATACTCAAGAGCTCAACACCCTAAACCCCATTCAGTCCCTTCGTCTTGCCGCGCAACGGCTGTCGTTGAAAATGTTGGAAGAAAGGTTTACACCGGCATTTACGGTGGTTTCCGGTGTCTAGGAAATATGGAAACCAGTCATTTCCCAGGTCCGGATTCGTATAAAAATCAGGACCAAGTTGAAACCCTCTCGCACGAAGCGTGCTTCGGAATCAGTTTTGCCGCAATGAAATGAATATCTCGAATTCGGACGTCTGCAACGTCTGCAACCTGAAAACCTCAAAAAACACGAGGCAGTCCGAACCCCCTGGGGTGCGGCAGGACGCTGGGTCTGGGTGGGGGCTCAACCCTAACGCCCTACAAAACCCTAACACGCCTTCCGAACCCCCTGCGAAACCCACAAGTTACCCTGCAGCAAATCCTACCTTCAGGAGGTACTCGACCAGCTCCCTTCTTCCGTAGCCGGCGGCGTAGTGAAGGCCGGAGTTACCGGAGCTGTCCACAGCCTCAGCAGACGGGGCCTCATAGCCTAATTCGAACAAATTGTTGTGTGGTAGGTTATGGTATACAGGGACTGCGTCGGCTTGAGGATGTTTGGGTAACAGGGCTTTTGGGCTCTTGCGCCGCAGAGATTTCGGAGGTTTATAGATGCCGTTCATGGTTCTCCGGCTCAGACTGAACTTACTCTATACTGGGGTTGGAACAGTCGAGTGGGGTGTTCGCGCTGTCTTGATTGTTTCGGGTCTTCTTGTCGACAAGTCGAGACGACGGTATAACCGGTAAAGGAAACGGGGACAGGACAAGTAGAGCAGAGGGTACAAGAGCATAAGGTGCAGGACAAGCAACATATGGGTTTGCCCTGCTGTCCAAGAGCTTCTTCACCACGGCGATGCCTTGGGCTCCACAGATCAGTGACCTACCGGACAAGCCTATGAAGCATAATGAACCCGTGAAGCCAAACCAACAAAACGACAAAAGGACGGCAAAGCCGACAGGCAGGCTGTAACTTCATCCAATATCTCCGTCAGTGTTTCGCAGCTTCGGCTGGGACTGCTCGGATGTACAGGGCGTCATTAAGGTTTCATGCTCCCGAACGGACATGACCCAGGCAGGGTGGAGCTTTAGGCACAAGGCTCTATTTGAGCCAGGAAGCGGTTGGCACCGATGGCATAGCCTAGCGGAGTGATCCCCTTGAAGTCCTGCGCATCCAGGGGCTTGTTCTTGTCTAAGAACTGCTGGACGGCTGCGAGATCCCCCTTCTTGGCTGCTTCGTGGAGGGTCAGCGAGGTGTCTTCAATCTTCTGAAGAACGGGCTGAAGCTCGGAAGGAAGGCCACCCATCTTCTGGCTTATTCGTAGCATCAACTCCTCGTCCTGGTAGTACTTCATGACGGCTTCCATGCCATTCTTCTTGATGTCTTCGAAGATGGAGGCCAACTCGGGGTCTTTCTCCAGGGACTTGACCTTGTCCTGGACCGGGGTGTCGCCGCTGGC